ATAAATTATTTACAATTTTTAAGATGCTTGTAATCGTCAAATATTAATATCATTATCATGTTTTTATTATTATAGTATTAATAAAGTGTAATAGTTAGTTTTTCTGAGAAATAAAGAATCTTTAGGAGACCTATGTCAGAAACGGCGACTTTCCTCTATTATTATAATATAATAATATGTGTATGTTATATTATTGTACATCTTAAATTATTTTACCTATTTCGTTGTTAGAACAAATGTTTACTTCTGAATTATTTTGATCTTCAAGTTCCATATCCGAATCAGATTCATCGTTTGAATTCTGTGCATTTGAAGACACGTTTCCTTGCACTGCTTCTAAATATTGAGATATTTTGAGGATATCCGTACTCGCTTGTGATTGTCTATAATGCACTCTATGAATTTTATCTTCATGGCCCATAAATTTTGCAAGATCCGTAACTTCAGTATCATTGAGATTGAATTGAATGCAATGTGTTGCTATATGTTTCCGCAGTGTTGTACCACGCAAAGTAGTTGAATGACTGGCATTACACTCTTTTGCGAATTTCCGCATTAATACACAGGCTCTAAGGTACCGGAATCTTTGTTTGTTCAAACTGGGTAGTCCAAAAATATAAGGATTCTTTTTTGATACGTTAGCATCTTTCCGAAATTTCAAAATTAAAATAACACATTTGAAGAGATCATTTGGCAGTAATACGAGTACGGTACGTCCTAATTTTCCTCTTATACAGAATCGGACATATTTTTGTGCGGTTTTTTTGTCCTTTGCCGATAATGAATTATATATATCACTGTACATATTTTCATTTAATCTTTCATAACTTTCAAAATCTTGAATAAGAACTCGTTCTATTTCTCCTGCTCGTCTTCTATTAAAGACATGCATTGAAGTTAATGTCACTTTTGCCAAAGAAAGCCATTTTTCATATGAAAAAGATTCTTTTAATGCTGTATAAGCTTCCATTTTTTTTTTCATCAAATGCTCATGTAATTTTTTGATATCTTCTAATGATGGCAGATTTACCTTTTTACGTCTTTTAATAGCCGATTGTGTCTCTAAGACAGTTTTATTAACACTCGTACTGACGTCCATAACTAACAGTTTTAAAAAATCCTCAACTAACTTCTTTTTCTTTTCATCTTCTTTCTTGATGCATTCTATAATTAAAAGATTACCTATATATTTAATATAACTTGTTAAACTGGCTGCTACTGCGGGAGTTTTATAAAGTACTTGTTCACTATCATATCCAGCTACTACATTAATTGCAGAAATGCAATCATCGTATACTTTTGGATGATAGAGCGACTGAAAATCTTCTGTGGTTTTATTTATTTTCTTCAATGCTAAAAGAAAACGTCCAAGAACGCGCAATCATGCTCTTATCATATCATGTTGATGTTGAACTGGATATTTCTCACACAACTTACTACCATATATGATCAGCAATTCGTCATATCTCACAATTCGTGTTACTGTATCATCTCGCATTATTGGAAATACTACATTTCTTAAAAGCTCATTTGCTCGTTGATGTATCCTTCTCGCAACTTTTCTGCTCATAGTCATAATAATTTTATTCTTTCGAAAATCTTTTTTTGAACATTTTCGAACATGATGACGTAGTGTATGTTTAGCAAAATAACCGCAACATTTCGGGCAAGGAGCAAAATCAGTTGCAGTTTTATTAATGTTTTCATTTGGACGTCTGGATACAAGAAGTTCTCCGTTATTAATTTCAATATCTGTATTAAACATAAAGTTACCCTTCTTTCTTAAGTTATTTATTATTTCTTTCCTTTCCAGATTGTTTTTTGGCAAAACGGCAAATTTTTGTACTTCAAGCTCATTACCGTGTACAGTTTCCAAATGACGTGCGAGTTGCGATTGCAACTTTTTGCAAAAAACGCAACAGTTTCGTTTAGTGGATTTTATCTTAGAGTTTTGAACATGCATTAATTCGTCATTGCATGAGGATGTGATAATAATGTTACTTTCTGATGCATTGAAACTAGAAATGGATGTTTCGTTAGTATTATTTTGCGAAGATTTATTATTACGTGAAGTGGATGTCTTGTTAGAAATATTATTTTGTGGAGATTCACTATCGTGTGAAAAACTTTGTTCCGAAGGTACATATTCTGAATCTTCATCGTTATGTTCTTCTTCATTATCTAGTAAAAATTAAATTAAATATGTAGAATAAGTTAAATAATCGTATATAGAATAATGGTATATAGAATAAGTCTAAAAAAATTGATGTACTATAATCATGATAATTGCACAATTTATGATTCCGTATCGATATTCACAATCAGATATTCGTAACCAGATCTTGCCTACTACAGATGTAAAAAATTTTTTTAAATAATAGAGTCGTTAATAACAAAATGGTATTAACATTTTTTCGACAATTTAAAGAAATTAAGGCTCCTGTTAACT